GTGCACCTCATATACTTGACACTGTGCACCTCATATACTTGACACTGTGCACATCATATACTTGACAATGTGCACCTCATATATTTGACACTGTGCACCTCATATACTTGACAATATGCACCTCATATACTTGACACTGTGTTCCCTTATACTTGACACTGTGCATCTCATATACTTGACACTGTGAACCTCATATACTTGACACTGTGCAGCTCATATACTTGACACTAGCACCTCATATACTTGACACTGTGTTCCCTTATACTTGACACTGTGCATCTCATATACTTGACACTGTGAACCTCATATACTTGACACTGTGCAGCTCATATACTTGACACTAGCACCTTATATACTTGACACTGTGCACCTCATATACTTGACAATATGCACCTCATATACTTGACACTGTGTTCCCTTATACTTGACACTGTGCATCTCATATACTTGACACTGTGAACCTCATATACTTGACACTGTGCAGCTCATATACTTGACACTAGCACCTCATATACTTGACACTGTGTTCCCTTATACTTGACACTGTGCATCTCATATACTTGACACTGTGAACCTCATATACTTGACACTGTGCAGCTCATATACTTGACACTAGCACCTTATATACTTGTCAATATGCACCTCATATACCAGACACTGTAATGCATATACTTTTCATTGTCACCTCATATACTTGACACTGTGCACTTCATATACTTGACACTGTGCACCTCATATATTTGACACTGTGCACCTCATATACTTGACACTGTGCACCTCATATACTTGACACTGTGCACCTCATATACTTGACACTGTGTTCCCTTATACTTGACACTGTGCACTTTATAAACTTGACACTATGCACCTCATATACTTGACACTGTGCACCTCATATACTTGACACTGTGCACCTCATATACTTGACACTGTGCACCTCATATACTTGACACTGTGCACCTCATACACTTCACACTGTGCACCTCATATACTAGACACTGTGCACCTCATATACTTGACACTGTGTTCGTCATTTGGCGTGACCACAGAAACTAGAGTAGGCGTATTTCATTAATGGTACGATAGCTCCTACTCTACTCAGCTTCCATCAGGATCAATCAATCCCCGAATGTGTACATTAAACTCGCCCAATCTGGGTCAACGCAATTTCATTGGTCTATTATACATTTATTTATGTAATGTTCATTTTATTTTATTACGGTAATAAAGTTTTTATAATCATTGGCTAACAAATATTGTTATAAATAATAATAAAAGAATGAATCCATTGCATGTGCTTTGTTGTGTTTCCTAGGGAAATCAATTTAACAGCACACACACACACACTCACTCACGCACAGAGCCCACCGCCCCCACCGCTGTTTCAGCGTGCGCGCACACACATACACAAACGCAGGCAAAGGCGTGAAACCTTAGATCAGAGCACGAATTCTATCGCGAGACGTCTATTTTAAAAGACGGTTACTAGGTTGAAGTTTTGAGAGAAGAAAAAAAAACACAGATGAAATAACATACAGTTGTTCATTGCAAATAGCGCTGAACCTCGTTTGGTGTAGTAGAAATAGTTGTATTGTCTTTTTATCATTGCCTATGTATGGAAACTGTCGGTGGTATTGTCTTTTATCATTGCCTATGTATGGAAACTGTTGGTGGTATTGTGCAGTATCATTGTCGGTGTATGGAAACTGTAGGTGGTATTGTCTTTTATCATTGCCTATGTATGGAAACTGTCGGTGGTATTGTCTTTTATCATTGCCTATGTATGAAAACTGTTGGTGGTATTGTGCAGTATCATTGTCGGTGTATGGAAACTGTAGGTGGTATTGTCTTTTATCATTGCCTATGTATGGAAACTGTAGGTGGTATTGTCCTTTTATCATTGCCTATGTATGGAAACTGTTGGTGGTATTGTCTTTTATCATTGCCTATGTATGGAAACTGTCGGTGGTATTGTCCTTGTATCATTGCCTATGTATGGAAACTGTAGGTGGTATTGTCTTTTATCATTGCCTATGTATGGAAACTGTCGGTGGTATTGTCCTTGTATCATTGCCTATGTATGGAAACTGTAGGTGGTATTGTCCTGTCTCTTTACAAATGTATAAAAACTGTTGGTGGTACAGTCCGGTATCATTGCCAATGTATAAACTGTTGGTGGTATTGCCCGGTATCATTGCCAATGTATAAACTGTTGGTGGTACAGTCCGGTATCATTGCCAATGTCTAAACTGTTGGTGGTATTGCCCGGTATCATTGCCAATGTATAAACTGTTGGTGGTACAGTCCGGTATCATTGCCAATGTATAAACTGTTGGTGGTATTGCCCGGTATCATTGCCATTGTATAAACTGTTGGTGGTACAGTCCGGTATCATTGCCAATGTATAAACTGTTGGTGGTATTGTCCGGTATCATTGCCAATGTATAAACTGTTGGTGGTATTGTCCGGTATCATTGCCAATGTATAAACTGTTGGTGGTATTGTCCGGTATCATTGCCAATGTATAAACTGTTGGTGGTACAGTCCGGTATCATTGCCAATGTATAAACTGTTGGTGGTATTGTCCGGTATCATTGCCAATGTCTAAACTGTTGGTGGTATTGTCCGGTATCATTGCCAATGTCTAAACTGTTGGTGGTATTGTCCGGTATCATTGCCATTGTATAAACTGTTGGTGGTATTGTCCGGTATCATTGCCATTGTATAAACTTTTGGTGGTATTGTCCGGTATCATTGCCATTGTATAAACTGTTGGTGGTATTGTCCGGTATCATTGCCAATGTATAAACTGTTGGTGGTATTGTCCGGTATCATTGCCAATGTATAAACTGTTGGTGGTGTTGTCCTGTCTCGTCACAAATTTATAAAAAAACTGTTGATGGTGTCGGTCCTGGTATTTCACTGTTCACAAATCTTTATTTGTAGCAACCTCACGTCGTTATATGGTGGTTTGTCCTATTTAACAGTTACATCTTTCATCATCATCATCATTCCTTTGTGGCCCCTGTGGAGCAAAGGGCTGCAACCACACATCTTTAGTGAGATCAAACTCAAAGACAGCAGCTCAACTTGCTCAATGGAGCAAATAGGTCGACATGGTGAGGTAAGGGTCAAACATAGACTTTGATTTGATTATCGTTCGTTTGTTTTGTTGTTGTAGGTTATTGTTGTTTTTTTTCTCGTTAATAGAGATTTTTTTTCTAAATGGAGGCGGAATGGAATGGTCTTGAAATGGTGTATAAACATCTGGTGCGATGTTATTAAAATAATAAACCGGTAGTGATCTCCCCTAAACTTTCTCGAATATTCTTATATAAAACAACAGGGGATGGTAACTGGGGATATAGTTATGATTTTTAATCCATTTTAAATACTTAAACTTTTAAAAATAGAATAGAATCTCATAAAAAAAACATTGCGCACCAAGCAAACGCCGAATAAAAACGCGTATAATAGTGCGCAATATTATTAGTACTTTAAAAATTTACATTAGTTTTTTGAGAAATCGGAAGTAGCGTAAATTACTACTTCCAGTCAACGGAAATTACTCAAAATTTAACAGAAGGTAGAGAATTAGATCTTTTACTTACATTTGAAATTTCATTTATCTATCTGAAATAGTACTCAAGTTATAGGCTTTTGAAAAATTCAAAGTAGGAAAAGTACCACTTCCGGTTATCGGAAATCGCTCAAAAGTTGATACGGATCTACGATTTTGATAAAATACTTATATATGAAATTTCATCAACCTAGCTGTAACGGTACTCAAGTTATCGTGTTTACACACGGACAGACAGACAGACAGACACACACACACACAGACATACGGACAAGATTGCAAAATTATGTTTTTCCGTATCAGTGAGGTGTAAAACGTCGAGATTTGTAAAAATCTCGATTTTTTTTTTTTGCACGATTACAATACTTTCTCTATACTACGTATATACGAGAAAGTAAAAATGGTTTGAAAAACTTGAATTTGATTTTTGACGGATTTTTCTTAGTATTGGATGTTTTTGTTGTTATGGTATTTTCGCTAACTAAACACAAAGGCAAACAGGATTTGGTTGTTAACATTCTATCACACAAAATGACAACAATCATGGCTAAACTAGGCATAAGGTTGTTTTTGTTTTTGTTTTTTGGTTTTTTTTTTTGTCTTTTTTATATTGAAACTACAGTTTAGGAAAGTTGAGTTCATAGTTCATTTGTTAGTTTTAGATCTAGAGTACAAATTACTATGAATTTTTTATGAAGTGGGGTTTTCATAATATCGATCATGGAATTCCTATATAGCAATCTACGTTTGTCTTACGAAAGTAAAACTGCGGATTATAACTAAGAACAGGTGAAAATAAATAGAAATGTGACCTTAAATTTATATAATTATTTTCAAGTTCTCTGGATTTGCAACTTAAATAACCTTGATTATAAAATATTTTCATTTCTGAATTATTTTCAGGCTTAAGTTTGTATTTTGTATGGCTGCTCTATTAAATATTACTTTAATTAAAATTACATTTTTTATCCGTGTCAACGATAATAATATTATGTAGGCCTACGTTGGTCTATTTTCATTTCAATGTAAACTTTTTTTTTAAAATAACATCAACATTTCAATTTTAAAAATTAGGTTTTAAAATGCACCTTCCCCCCCCCCCCTCCCCCATCTAGAACACTACATGACAGGGTAAAAAATACTAAATTTCTTTCATGTACCCTTTATTTAAATAAACTTATTTCAGAACTTCAGACTAAAAGAAAACTAAATAATTTAAATACATAATTAAATAATGATAGTATGTACTAGTATGTAGAGTAATATTACCTTTTTCAGGTCGAATTGTGTTTTGCACTGATTTTATTCAATTAGATTTAGAATATAAAATAATACGATGTACATAATATTAAATTATTTAATATTAAAAGACGAAAAAAGAGTATTCAAAATCTGCGATATAAGCACAGAATGATGAACACTAAAATGTAAACACAGGTTCAGTTTTTAGTTTTAGCTATCGCGAAGTTCCAACTGTAAATTAATAATTAGATTTAGTCTTTGATCTAATTATTAAATTGTCAAACATTTGTGATTTGTTTCTGTATTATAAAACTTGATACTTCAAGAAATGCATGGTAATAATTTATATCAATATCTTTAAATTAAAAATAAACTTGACGTCAGACTCAGAGTGAGAGAGGCTCTGTCAGCTGTCTCATCATGATTCATTATTTATAATATTTAATATTATTTATTTATTTACATTTAATCTAGATCTATAATAAATTAATAAATACCCTCATCTCAAGGATCACATGATCTAGATTCTAGATTGATTATAATAGATGATCACGTCATTTGACACATAATCAAATATAATTCATACTTCAGTTTCTCTGAGATTTTAAATTTTATAATTTTAAATTTTATAGATTATTGATTATAGTATTAGATCTAGATAATCTAGATCTTGTAAATTTATTTAGATCTAGAAAAAATCTAGATCTAGATCTAGATCTATAATTATAATCTATTCTATATTCTATATAGATCTATAATATAGTATTATTTAAAAAGTAGCCCTATTAAATAGTTTTTCTTACTATTTGTGAAATCTACTTAATTCTCAATTTAAACATGACAACTGAATAAAAAACGTCCATACTTTATCCTCTAGGCACTAAATTTGGGGGTTGTAGCGAGTTTAGACTAAATTATTGAATTTTAAATTTATTTGTCACTCACAGCTATGATATGACGGATCATCCATGACAACCTGGTTAAAAGTTGAAAGGTTTAACTTTTTAAGTGACCGTGAAATAGATCTAATTTTTTTTCACAAGAGAGTTCCTAAAAGTAGAATTGGCCCGTCTATCGTCGGGTAATATTTTTAGAGGAAAAAAATTTAAGAGAATGTCATCAGAAAAGAATTTAAAAAAAGACAAGACAGAAGTGATTTTTGAATTCTTTTATTTCTTTAATTTTATGACATTTTTTATTGTACAAAAGAGCAAAATAAAAAACCATGCCAGGTAAACGTATCCATTCAAATAGCGGTCACGTGGTCAAAAAAAATAAAAAAAATGTGGTTGTCATTTCTCGGTCGATCTTATAAAAAAACGGTTGAAGATATTTGATTTATTTTTTCATAGAATGATAAAACTAATAATGCTTTACTATGGAAATCAATTTTGTGAGAGGGAGATCTATATTTAAAAAGTTAAATTATTTTGAATGACACCGACTTTAAATTTAGCCTACATTCCCCAAAGCAATTTCTGAAAATGCTTTTCTGGCATATTTAACCTTGCCACCTATAGCATGTTTTTATAACGTGAAAACCCGCCATTTTACTCGTGATAAACATTTTTAAAAGTAATTCTAAGAAGGTCTCTGGAACTAAGTCGAAAAACTCGCCGGAAGTCATGGTCCGATCCTTACGCCATGTTCTGGTTAGCAACCAAGGACGCTTTTAAGTTAGTGAGCCTCCCTACTATTAAAAGAACCAAATATTCTGTTATAATTGAATTTGTTGTAAAAACATTAATTTAATCATTCAATTTAAAAATATAAATAGCAAGAGAATGTCTCATGTAATTTCTTGAATGAAATAAAATAGGAAAAGGCTACTATACATTTTACTAACATTGTCTTTATTACTGCAGGAAATGACAGTCTGTACACAAGAATGACTACCCAGCCATTCTACAAAGAAAATCAGATTGATCCAGAATTAGAGCATAAAACTAAACGAGGTTTTTTTGCAATTTGTCACTTAATCATTCATTCACAGTTAAACAGACATTAACCCTTAACCTTCCAGGGCATAATAAAAATAAAAAGCATTTGGCCTTAACACAAAATCAGTCTGACTTTTTCATGTATGAGGTAAAACAACATAATAGTTTGCTAATATTCTCAAAATATAGTGGAGTACTAGTATATGCCACAACAATAGAAATATTTTTTGTTAAAAGGGGTGTTAGATTATGGGTAGTTAACTAAATACAAACATTTCTTGATAATGTCAACACTAACCTAAATCTTACCATAGCCCTCACCCTAATTTTGGACAATAAAACTAAAACTGGGTTTACAATACTACAAAACTAACACACCTATTTTCAGGAGAGTCTATTATTCAAACTATTGGACATCTGTTATTCCAATACTCAGATATAATTTTTGTACATTTGTTAAGGTACCAGTGGATACAATTTATTTTTAAAAAACTTACAACTATATAAAATATCTTTTTCTAGTATCTGACAAGCTGTCTGAAACACTGAATGTTATAGCTAATGAACCTTCTCTGGCATTCTTTCGGATACAAGAGCATGTTCGTAAAACATTACCACAGCTTGTTGATCAAAAGGTATGTATCCAGTCTGTTGTTACAGTTGTAATTTATAATGTAAGTTTTCTTTTTTAAATGCAATACAATTTACTTAACTAATGATCATTCTATTACATTTCTAGCATGAAGTAGAAGATATTCAGGCAAGAGTTCAAGGAGCCTGCTTTGATGCTGAATATGCAACTAAGTATTGCAGATTTTTATACCAGCTTAATATGCCAATAAAACTTAAGTTTCTAAATGTTAAATTGCATAAAATATTGTAAAGCATCAAGTTTTATTTAAGTCAACCTACTTACCTCCACATTTAAATATGCTCTGAAGATAAATTGAGTAATAAAATTGATGTCTTAACTATACAATTATAAAATTCACAACTCTTTTTAAGATTTGATGGGATTAGAAAATATTGGTAAACATTATAAGCACTTGCTATAGAATAAATTTGTGTTGTTAATTTGTTTGATATCAGCTGTTTTTTTTTGTTTTTTTACATTGTCGTTTTACTCTACAGTGCAATAAGATGCATGCAGTCCAGTGCAATACATTTTCAAAACATTCAAGATTTGTTAAAAAATGCTATGTTCATGAAACAACAAATAACTTACGCTGATAAAAGGTGAAATTTGAATCTCAGTGGAATAGATTTTTAATACTAATTTGGTTAATATTTTAAATCTAATAATACTAATAAGCTTTTATTTTTCATATAAAAGTTAATTTTAGAATAATTGTTTGTTTGATTTGTACCAGAGTTGTTTTCTCCTGTATCTATTATTAGAAGGCTAGGAAAAGCCAGCCCTGTCATACCTCAGTCACCAGAAGAAAGAAAGCCACAACCAGAAGTAGAGAAGGAATCTGTGGGGGTCATGGTACAAAGCACAGATAGTAGTTTAGAGAGGAGTGGGTGTATTCAACAAGAGTAAGTGCTCTTGGATCTTCATATAAGATTTTATTGTCATCAACATTTTTATTTATAAAAGTGAAGTAATAATTTAATTTTCAACATGCTGTATAGGCACGTCTTTGATTATTTTGAATGGACAAAAATTTCAGACTTGACCTTACCCATCTTAGACTATCATAGTTGTTTTGTTTTTTACTTTAAAATTATGTAGACCGGTCTTAAAGTAGCTAGTGAGGTCCTAGATCCTAATTTAGCAAAGAAATATGTCAGTAAGTGCTAATCTATTTTCTCCGCCTAGTTGAGTTACATTTAAAAACGAGACAGAATTGTAAGTAGGTTAATTATTTTTGTTGACTATTCCTCAATCCTTTGATCAGCTCATAATGGTCTAAATAAAAAATGCCATTTTCATTTAAGTTGTAAAATGACAGCAATATAATTTTAAACATGATTAAATAAATACCTCCCCTATATCATCATGTATATAATAGAAAAAAACAAAAGTTCACATAACCCTCTCCTTAATAACCCTTATCTTATTATCCTTTCCAAGTTGTATTATAATAGTTAAAAATATATTTTTCATTTGTAAAGATAATTTTAAGAAACAAACTGTTTTTAGATCAGTTTAAATGTTCCTCGTATTTCAGTAGTATCTTAGCAGTTGTCTGCCCTTGCAGTCCAAAAAAAGTCAGAAGGGTACAGCACTGTTCTATGTTTGTAACATTTAAATGTTGTCTCTAGTAAGCTTATACTTCTTTAGCCTGGGAGAAATTATAGTCAATAGAAATTGTTAACTAATTTGTATACACTAGTGACTCTCAATGAATTTTTTGAAAAGCATACATTATAAACCTATGAATGTTTTAAATTTTAAAAAATATTTATAACTTCATGTTTTTATTTTCTTTCCTGTTTTCAAATCTACTTCTGTGCTTACTGTAATCTAATGATTTCATAAAAATCATTCATGCTTAACCCCAACCATTTTTATCAAACCCTATAAAACAAGTTGTTTTTTACATATTTTTAGAAAGATAAAATTGAAAAGACCATGGCTGATTAATCCTATTTTAAGCTCAACGTTTTGACATATATTAAAGCTGCTAATCCATTGTGTTTGTTTATTTTTTACAGCTTGCCTAGAACTTTTTTTAGTCATGTGACATTAATAGTTAAATTATGATAATATTTAAAACTTGTGGAAACTATTAAATCAATGAAATTAAGCTCTAGAATATAAGGACTGTATGCCTATTTTAGCTCAGTTATGTCTAACAATTATCAATGTGAATCACTGCCAAAATCAAAATTTCATTCACTGTGTTTCTTGTGTGGTGCTCATGACTCTATAATGCTTCTAGCTTAAAATATCAAAGCCTTCTTTGTAAATAAATTTTAAATATTCTGCCACATGATGTTTCAACTAACATTTCATCAATGTCATTATAGGTGCCTTATTTTTTACCAGTTGATAATTGTTTGACTAGTTTTTAAAATATAAATTACAAGTTACAAATTAACCAAATTTACTGTTTTATGGTTATGCAATATGCAGTTAAATGGGAGACTATCCAACCTTTTATTAAGCAGAATTTTAAAAAAAACTAAATATTTACTTATTTTATCCTTTAAAGTTTTTAAGTGTTTTATTTTACATCATAGCAAAAAAAACTCTTATAATTAGATTCTGTACCACTTCTTTTTTTTTTAAATTCTTCACTTATAATTGCCATGTAATTTGTTGCAGAAAAGTAAACTCTCCTAAACAAAGCTTAGAAGATTTTCAAGCAAGTCAGGAAGTTGAACAGTACATGAGTCCCACAAGTTTCTGTCAAAATGAACATCCTGCTGTGCAATAAGACCATAATTTATGCTGTGATCTACTTTTTAAAATCAAATTTCCATGTGCTTTGTTAATATGTTGTATTTGTCTATCATTTCTAACAACCCATTTCAACCCTTTTATACAACATATAAGAGAAAGTGATATTTCAGACTATTAGCAATGACCAACTTAATGGAACTTTTTAAAACAGTTGTTTGGTTTATTCAACAATACAAGAAACATTTTAAAATAAAAACTTTTAGATTAAAATGAGTAGACATCACATTTTTTTGTTCATCGTTGTTCACTGGTGTAAATTTAGTTGTTTTTTTCTATTATCTCGCCTGTCATTTCTTGTACATCAGTATTTTTAATATTTTTTAAATTTAATTCTCTTAGGTTCAGTCACTTTTACATTGAATAAAAATATTTTACAGCAAAGTTTTAATTATTTAGACTAGCATTTATTTATTTATTTAGACTGCTTGATGTCAGTGTATAAAATGTTCAATATTTACATAGAGAAATAATTTGAGTTGTACAAATGTTAGAAACCCAATGCTTTGCCTTTTAAATTTCTTAATTACAAATGTTATTTGTCAATAAATGTGAATTAGTAAATTGAACTTCATAACTTTTATGTGTGATATTTTTGATGATTACTTTTTAAGTTAACTGAATGTTTTTTTAAGTGGTGAGTAACGCTTTTTATTTTATTTTTTTAAGTATTTTTTTTCAGCTCTTAATTTATGATAGTTTCCTATACCAAAACTGGTCTTAAAAATGAAAACCTGTGAAATTACCGGTAGTTTACCTTATACACTTAGGATAAAGACAGCCAACATGTCTAGATCATTCTCGCATCCTATAACTGTAGTGATCCTGATGGGAATAATGGTCTAGCTTTGGCAGATTTGGTGTGGATTTAATTGAATGTTACAGGAAATGATTCGCTTCTGGAAAATTTACAATTAACACTACCAGAATTAGCATCATACTATAATAATACATGTCTACTACTTGATGCTGCTAGATCAGAGCTGAACTATCGTTCAAACAATTCTTTGAATCAATAGATACAGCTTTCATTCCACTAAAACAATTGAATAAGTACTAAGAAGTACATACAACTTTTAATATTCTTTCATTGAACTAAATTACACAACTTAAAGTACAGCTCAGCATGTATAAACTGGCTCTGTGTTTTTTACAAACTGCTGGACTAAATTTTAAAACATTTTTGCTCTCACTTCCAAACACATTCTAGAAATCTACAAGACTCAGATACAAAGACACAATAAATGCAAATGTAATTGGAAAATTTTTATTTAACTCAGGTATTTGGGAATTAGACTGAAATCCAAAGAACAAGTCAAGTTAAGCATACATTTAGTAAAGTACATATTATCACACTAGTTAATAATGGTAAAACAAAACAACTGAGAACATTAGTGTCTTGTTGACAGATTTTTTAAAGTAATGCCACATTTACTTCAAGTAAAAGAAAATCGTGAAAGAATCTAAAATGGAGAACTACTACAAAATATATTTTCTTCATAAAACAAATTATTTCAGTGGTTAATCAACATGAGGACAAAAGCATGACATTGAAAGATAAATTATCTCCATTAATGCAATCAAGACTCTTAAGATTTTCATTAATAATTTTAACACAGCACATTTTCAAAGTAATATTTGTGTCATGCAAAGTGATGCATTAACTGGTTTTAGGCATGATTCAAAGAGAGAACTCAAATCAAGATAATTTTAAGGCGGGTAAAAACTAAGTGCAGCTACTATGCTTATGTTAAACGAAAATTGGAATTTAAAGATTTGATACTTAAATTTAAAAATAGTTTAATCCTGATATAAACTAGACTCTGTATGAAAATGTGTGTACATAAAAAAAAACCTAGTTGAAAATTTTTAAACAAAGATAACTAAAACATTTTTGGGTTCAAAAAGCTTAAGCAAAAAGGAATTTAATGTAATTTTATTTGAAAAATTAAAAACAAGTAAACATTCAAACAAAACAACCTTTACCATAATAACATTTAAAACAACAATGAATGAACAAGTCTATGTTTTACATCATTGTAAAAAGAAACTAAGGTAAGATTTTTGTAAAACAGGTAGATTGGTAATGTAAAGTTTTGAGTTAAATTAAAACTGGATCAACAATAAAGGCATTAATCATAACATTTAGTTAACTATTTAATACATGAGCCTGTCTGAGTAGAAAATACTTGTATACATTACTCTGTATAATCAAAGTAATCAATAGAGGGTTTTGGAGAAGCTGCTGTAGCCCCAACATCTTCCCAAGCTCTGCTGGTGGATGGCTGCTCTTTGACTGAAATTTTTTTCTTCTCCAACACAGTAAACCTAATTACAAGGAAATATTTCATTATTAGCATTTTAAGCTCCAGAAATTTCTTTATAACAATATTAAGTGATAGAAACTTTTATAATTAAGTAGTGATATACTGTCAACTTACGTGACTCCCTGAGTTTTAAAAGTTGAAATAAGTGGCGGAGCTTTCTGCAACTGGTCTTTACACGCCATCTGTGTCAAGGTGACATTTGGTAGCCAACATTTTTCTCTGTCAATTGTTAAAAGAAAAATTGTCACATTATCTTTTCCATCGCAGCAAACTACTTTGAAAAATGTATTGGCATTTCTGGCAGATAATTTTGAAAGAGTGTTGGCAGATAATTTGAAATTGTGTTGGCAGATTATTTAAAAATGTCTTTGAGGATAATTTCTGTGTACAGATAATTTTAAAATGTGTTCTCTGTAGGCAGATAATCAAACTCACTTGTAAGCTGTAGCCACAACATTTTTATTGGGTTCACAGTCATAACTTTGAGTCTGACAACCGTAAAACTCTGCCAGTTCATGGACGAACCTCCTCTGATCTCTATTCATTGACTGGAATGCATGACTTCTACTTGGCTGAAGGGACTGAGAAAAAAAATTGTAAATAAGTTAGAAGCAGAAACCACTATAGCATTTTAAGTTTTACAGACTTTTATAAGTGAAATATTTTAAACAAGTTGTTTTATTACCTGTTTTGATGACTGTACAAGTTCATTCAAATTTTTTTCCACACTTAAAGCAAATTTAGGGTTTTTTCTAAATAACAAAAAAAAAAGAAAAATGTAGTATGTTTAATTATAAAGAAAACAATTTAAATTTAACAATAAACTCTTATTATGGAAGCAGAAAAATAAGTGTCAACTTACTTAGCAAAGTCCTTAAGAAAATCAGTAAAGGTAGGATTTCCTAGCTTGGCGTTCATGTCAGGATTTTTTATTTCCAGGGCTAATGCAAGACGACGGTTGCGTTCAATAATAGCACAATTTGTATCACAGTCAAGCCTGAAGAGGAGATAGATCAGCATAAAGATTCATCTTCCTTATGAAAGTTATAACTACTGACAACACTTTTTTAACAGAAGTTTTAAAAAGTTTTTCAAAATTATAATAACCAGTGTCAAAAAAATTAAGTTAAGAACATCTCTTAAGCTGTAATGGTTTTTTATGCTCTGATGCAAAGCTGATGTTTCCTCTGAGAAATGGTTGGGTAGAATTTTATTAGTTAATTAACAATGTCTGGGCTTGGGGTTTTCTATTTTAATTGAAGAATAAAGAATATTGTCCACAGAATTTTTAAAGAAAGTTTGTTTTGTTGAAACTAACAGCTTACTACTGACCTTTTGTTGGACTTTTTGCTCTGGGTAAACTGGGACATGTCCACACTTTGACCCCCAGACTCTACTATACTCTGGACACTCAGTCGTTGGAACTGAGCAATCTCTGAAGAAAGGTCGCCACCTGCTAAACATTGCGCCTTAGCAGTCCTGCTCCCACAGGGGCAAGTAATCATGATCTGTTACACATCAAACAAACAAAATTTAACTGGTTTTTGTACACATAAGATCAAAGGAATAAATAACATTCTATTATTAATCATCTTGAAGTGTTTTTAAAAAAAATCAGCTTTAAAAATCGCAACCCATAGACCTACCTCAGTTTTGCAAGCTTCATCAGGGCATTCACCTGAATGACAAGGCATTCCACAGGGGTGACCACAGGCTGGTCTAGCCTTAGTACATGGCTGGTTACACACATTATTTTCTTCTAGACAATTGCCCTGTCAAAAGTATATACACAAGTTTTAATATGCAGCTTCACATTGAACATTTCTTTGGGTGGATTTAAGTTATTTAACTAGAAGGAGCCGGCAACTGTGTTTAGTTTTCATGATCAAACATGTATGTATTAAATTGATGACATGTTTCACTTACTTTATGGCAAGCTTTCAAACATTTGTGTTGACCACAAGGCAAAACTTTGTTACATGGATAACCACAGCTTATGTTAGTCATATGGCAAGGAACATTCTTGCGCATCTAAGATAAGAGAAATATGGTGTAATTTTCTAGCATTCTGTAGAATAGTAGAGTAAAATAATACTGAATGATGTAAAAATGTAGCATGTTGTAGAATATTACAATAAGATTTGAATAAAAGAAATATGATGTGGTTACATACCATATGGCCACCAACACACATTTTTTCTGTAAGCTCTGTACATGGTGGGCAAACTTCATCACCATGACAATTGTGTCTGACTATAAAGGAAAATGACAATAATATCCAATTCATTTTAAAAAATAAATAAACTAATAGCAAACTGTGTAATAATTATATTAGATCAAGGTTAAGAAATCGATTAAATGTGAGCCTATTGCAACCTATAAAAGAAATCTTAGTCAAGAGACCAACATTTATAAAGACAAACCTGGGTGGTCACAGTCATGCTGTCTAGAACACAGCTTGTGACAGTCTGGACGTCGGGCACCACAGGGGACAGGTGGTTCTATCACCTCGGCTCCACAGTAGCATGTCAGTTCTTCAAAACCTGACAAAAATTGCAGTCAAATTAATCAACCTTGTCATTTCTTTAAAACCAGACAAAATATTTCAGTCAAATTAGTCATTCATGTAAGTTCTTTAAAACTTATCAAAATTTTATGTGAAATTAGTAAATCTTGTAAGTTCTTCAAAACCTAACTAAATATTTTTGTCACATTAGTCTATCAAGTTAAATTTTCAAATAGGTAACAAAATATTTTCATCACATTAGTTATTAAAGTTACTTCAGTGAAGCCTGAATCTACAATTATTTTTGTAAAAATTAGTATACCAAATCAATTCTTCAAAACCTGAATCAAAAATATTTTTGTCAAAATTATTCTTCAAAACCATAATTAACAAAAATTCTTTTGACAATACATTAACACTTGAAACTTAAATCAATAAAATATGTTTGTGTTACATCTTTGTCAACTAGTCCCTTCTTTAAAACCTGAATGAACTAAATATTTTTTTTACGACCGTCAGTTTGGTTTTGTTAAATTTTCAATAATCTCTAAACATGGTTCTGGTTAGGTAATCAACTTACTTGCTTCAAGACATCGCTTGCAATTTCCTCTATGACAAAGTTCTTCACATTTATGCTTGCCACATGAGAGTTTCTGTCCACAGACTATCTCACAAATATGGATGTCTTTCTGTATTAGAATACAAATACAATAGCTCTAGTTTCAAAACCGTTATAATTGTCAGGATGCATTAATATAATTCTCTTTTAATTGATTTCAAGTAATAAAGATCCTAATTTTTGATCCTATGAATGCAAGAAAATAGTTATAAAGAGCAATTCATTACTAGAGTTAATTTTTTGTACCCTTTAATCGTGTATACATAATTCTTTATTTTTAAAAACTATAATTATAAAAATATTTAAATAGATTCCTCATAAATTAGTACCACATTACTGTTTAAAAAGTAGATAATTTGGAAACTTCTAATCATTTATTAATTACCACACAACAGTTATCAGAGCACTTGTGTTTGCCACAAGTTTTCTTCTTGCCACACCTTCGCTGACACTTGAATGGGTTTTTGTCTGAAAGTAACATAAATATGCTGCATTTTTTTTCTGGGATTAACATTCTTTTATACAGGTTTTTCTACACTTTTCTTGTTTCGATTTCAAAAGTTTTACAACTTTCTCTCAACAGTATTTAAAAGAAAACATTACAAGCAATTTTTAAAAGTTGTGTGAAACAGCTTTTAGTTCTACTTTTAGAAGAAAGCATAAAAACTCTAATGTAATGTCTTAAATCTGAAAAATAAAGTCTTTACAAAGTCCACTATGTAAGAAAATATGTACACGGTTAAGTACATCTTCAGTTTTAAAAAAAGTATGGTAAAATTCAGAGCTGGTAATATTTTTAAATATCAGTATATGAAGGGGTTGATCTACACTACGCCCACCCACCTTTACTTTCCCTGACTTAAGAGCTAAGTGAAGTCTTAGATGTTCTACAGGTCAACCCAGGAACTAAACTTTAACAACGGGTTTAGTGATTGTGCACTATTTTGCCAACTACCCCCCCCCCACAAGTGTTACAATTTTAACATTACAAAACAAACCCCAGTACCATTAAAGGTAACAGCAACTTCACAAGGCACCTTCTTCTCTATAGCGCCACATTCACACTTCATCAGGGTATCCTTGTTACAGGGCCCACAATCTCCATTGTGGCACTTTTTGTCACACAGGTGGGGTTCAGCTAACAAAGATAAAAACTTTCTTTTAATCAAGTACAAACGAGGTTCCACTAAAACTACATAATTATTTGTAAGTACTAATATATTAGGTTCAGGTAAAGAAATCAATAACATAAGTCACACAGTTATCAAGCAAAAATCAGGACCAACTAAAACAAACATATTTTAATATAATAAAATGAGTTCAGCTTAAAAAAAATATTTTTTAAAATCTTATTAAAAGAGGATCAACCGAGTTATGCTATATAATTATATACTAATATAGTAGTTAGAAATGTATCAGGGTCGTGTTTATATAAATTACTATGAAATTGAAATTGTTTCCCCTCACTTTGTGATCCACAAGACATTGGTTTGTTACAGATCTGTTCACATGTGGGTACTGGATCTAAGCAAGAATCTCTTTTTGAGCTGGTAAGCTCTGACAGGGGGGTCTTGCCACAGCAGCATGTCAACAGTAAGGCTGGCTTCAGATTACAGGAGCCGCAGTCACCAGGGTGGCATGATGATTCACATATATGATTCCCACAGTCCAATGTTCTAACAAAACAAAATGGTTGTTGTCTCAGGTCAGATTATACATTTTAATTATTGGGATTTTTTTTCAGTCTAAAGCCTACTTTGGAAATCTAATTTTTAAAAGGGTGCAATACCTGCCACATATTTTCTCACAGCAGAAGCCAATCATTTTAAATTCTTCTGTACCACATAAGGCATTTCTTGTTGCTCTTTTACAGAAACATTCTGAAGAGTTTTATTAGAACATTAATATTTATCTTGTAGCCATAATAAGTATTTTACTTAATAAAAAAATTAAAGGTTTTATTTTTATTTTTATAAAATATAGTATTTACATGCTATTAATTATTTAAGTAACAAAAACAAAGTTTAAAAAAAAAAAACAGGACATATGTTTGAGTTTAACATGAGAATCAGTTTTAAATAGACAAAAAAACTCAAATGTGTAAATGTGATTTACCTTGAGTTTTACTAACATCACATGGTGGGCAAGGACCCGCATGACACACAATGACACATTTATGATCAGAGCAATTGAGTGGCTTATCGCAAACCTCATCACACTTGAAGGTAATGGATGTTGAACATCTCACACTTTTACTGCAAACAAAGGGTTGATATTTTTGTTAAAACAGATGCAAACATAACCCAAAATGTATGAACAATATATAGTGAACAACATCAAATTAAATACTGTGTGAAAAATATGTAAAAAAAGCAAATTTACTTAATTTTTCCACAATCACATGCTGCACGAACCATGGAGCTACATGGAGGACATGGGCCTGGGTGACATAGTCTAAAGTATAAAAACAAAAAATTTTAAACTTGAAAAAATGTGCCAATACATACATATTTATGTTGTAGCTAAGCCACATAAATTTGGATTAGAATCACTATTTGTTCAAGTAGATTTCTCCAGTTTCTAATTTTAAATATAAGTTAAAACGAACATGGTGCATGGGTGTTTACAGTTGCCTTTCCGACTTCTGCGACAAGTTTCACCACAGCTGTGGGGTATTTCCCCTCTGATATATTTTGGGTCTTTCTTACTACCTGATGAATTAGATGTAACAAGTTTAGAGGATTGCTGTAAATTTAAACATAATTTTAAACATATAGCAATTGGCAAAAAAAAAATATATAGAAGTAAATATATTCTTCAACTCAAATTATCAGCAAATAATTAATCTCTGTTAAAAATTTATTTGGAATAATACTCAATCATACCACAAAAACATCGATATTGTGATGGAATTTTCGTTGAAACATTTTGGCAGCCAGGACATCTCCAATTCTTTAAATCTGTGTATACACATTTTTAATTATGTTTAAGTTTTCAAGTATTTAACTAAAACAACTGCAGGAAAACAATTTAAAAATTGTGAAAATACTATACAACTATGGACAGTAATAATGAATTGTACAAAAAATGCAATACCTTTGTTAATTGAAGACTGTGCCCATTTTTGAATACATGATAAATGAAAGACATGGTAGCAATTCATGCAGCTCCAAACAGAAGCTTCAGCCCTTATGTTCTCACAACACACCATACACTCATACTTGTTTGTACACAGTTGCTCTGTTAGACTACCTGTCAAGTTCAGAAGCAACAGCTGTTACACAAGTATGATTAATCCTGGTTGTACTTTAAATCTCAAGTATGCATGCACTTATATTCAGAATAAATGACTACTGAAGATATTTTTACTAAGTCATATTATTATGAGAATAAAAAGAAGTTAAAAATAATAAATTCACCTCTCTGACTCTCATCGTTTTCAGCTGAATCCTGCACTGAGCTGTTGAATTTGTAAGCTTTATCATTAGAGGACCTCCTGCCTGCCCATCCTGGATAGAATCCACTACGTCCAGTAACCTGACTCCCCTTCACCCTAGAATAATGGGATGCCTCATGTTTTGCCCTGACATCTTTAGAATCTACACTGCTTTTACTTCTTTCTTCATTTGTCTTCCCCCCTTCAAAGTTATCTGGCTTTTTACTTGTAGTTTCTTCGTGTTTACTGCCACTTTGATAATATTTCTCATTTGACTTGGGTTGTCTTTCTTCATTTTCATAATGGCCTTTTTTCCCACCTCTGTGGTATCCAGTCCCTTGCCTGTAGGTTTTATTTTTACTTGAAGACATATGTTCTTGATTTGATTTTTCCATTACAGGTTCCTGTTTACTGTGCTGGTATCTGCCTGCTGCTTCAGGTCCATATGAGCTATCGGCTTCATCCCGATTTTGCTTATGACCAGAATTTGCTTGCCATTGTGACTTTCCATCTCCATTCCCAAGCTTCGAATTACCAGAGCTACCTGAGTAATGATACTCATCCTTACCCCTAGGATTTGATTTGGATTGATTAAAATAACCCCTTTGCCCTCTACCTCTTGGTTTGTAACCATATTGATAATAAGCTTCATAATAATATTGATCTTCATCCATATACTGTCTCTGGCTATTTTCATAATAGTTGTGTCGCCTAGAGTTTTGAGAAAATCTGTAATTTTGAGCCCTGGATCTGGAAGAATGTTTAACCCCCTTATCAAAATTTCCTAATTGCTGTGCAGGAAATGTATGTTCATGATAATGTAAAGAATCTAGAGGTACAGAGCTACTGTACTCTCCAAAATCATTGGTTTGAATAGCCATACCAGGAACATAGTTAGATCGTAAATCATGGCCATAACTATGTGGCTGTTCCACATAGGCAGTGGGAACATTCCCTGGGAGATAAGAGTAGTCTCCATTTGTGTACATCACACCTCTGTCTTGATATGTAGCTGGTGGATGCACAGGTTCATAAGGATTAGGATGGTATTCTGGACTAAAGCCGGATGCTTGGTTACTGTTTTGCCAGCTCATTGTTTTTTCAACAAAACTGTATGATTACAAAATGAATTTTTAACTTGAAAAAAAGAAGAATAAGTGCATTATGTTTAAAAATAATTCACGAATAAAAATGGAAGGAAAATTTAAGTTGTCAAATATTATTTAACTTCAAATAAGCTCTACTTATGATTGATGCCTACCACTAGTGATTTTGCTACAGCACAATATTTAATAATTATTTATTATGTCCTCGACTCCTAGGCCTATTTGTCTAATTAGTAGGCCTAATTAGTTATTTAATAGTCAGGCCTATTATTAGTAATTAGTAACTAATTAATTAATTAGGCCTACTAATATAGTACTAGTAATAGGCCTACTACAATAATAAATTATTAACTACAGGCCTAGGCCCTAGCTAGGTCTAATAATTATTAATTGATAGACTCTGGACTCTATATTAAAAAAGGCCTAATATTATAATATTATTATTATAATATTTATTAGGCCTTAGCCAGTATAAATAAAAGAATGAATGTTCAATGTAGTAATGTAGTTGAATGTAGGCCTTAGTATTAATGCCCTACCTAACCTGTCCTAGAGTCCTAGATGGGTGTGGGGAAATTGCGAGACGCGAAAAGCGAAATGGCGAGGCGGGAAAATGCGAGAAGATCATGCGAGACATACCTGCGGAATCAAGGGTAAATAGCGAGACACTTTTTGCGAAAATAAGTTTTTTTTCATGCTTATTTCATCTTTATTTATTTAAATTATTTTTTTTTGTTTTAAAATAAACTAGCATGTAGCCATACCCTTTAACACGAGTGTTGTATGTTGTTATTTTTTATCTAGATTTTATTATATATATATATATATAGATAGATACTAAGAAGATAGATAGATCTATATCTAGATCTAGATCTATTAAAAAATCCTAACATCGTTGCTGTGCTACTGTCATCGCCCGCTCTCGTTAGCGAGAGGAAAATCCCGTTTCAGTCGGCATTAATTTTAAAAATCTAGCCCGCTCATGTTTATACAAACGTGAGCTGTGTCATTGTGAATTGGTATAATTTTGTCAGCAGGAGAGATATTCTGCAACATGTATTCGTGGATTGTTGTACTAGCAAAAAGTGTAAAAGTATAAACAATTCTTAAAAGTGTAATTTATTTTTTATTAAGTAATTTTAATTACAAACAAAATTTACAAACAAAATCTTCTGAAACAGTCCTAGCATTAATCAAACACACCTCGTCACACCATCTTTCACACATAGTACATCCAACCCACCAGTTCATTAGACTCCCATTTATACTGCGCTAACACAGAACACGAATATGAACATAATGGAAAAAATGTGCGTCTGTAGATAATCTGAATAAAGTCCCATATGGACAAAACTACCATTTAATAGCTAAAAGGGGTCATCCATAAATGACGATTTTTACCCCCTCCCCCTCCCCTCCGTCACACATTTTCACAAAAATCCAGACCTCCCTCCCACTAAAATGACGTCACACCTCAGTCTACAACCCCCCCCCCCCCCCCCCCCCCCTCAAAATTGCAGTTGAATTTTTTTTAAAACATCGATATTTTCCCAAAATCTTGTCTAATTTCTGTATTTTAATCAATTCCTATTACAATTTATGAAAACAGTTTTCTAAAACGCGAAAAACGTCTAAAATTCTTTTTCTAACATTGCTTTTTTATAGAGTGACTTCACATCTAACCCCCCCCCCCTCCTCCCCCTCATCACACATCGTCATAAAATTACAGACCCCCCCCCTACGAGTGTGACGTCATTTATGGAAGACCCCAAATAACACCACCACCACCAAAACCAAAAAATTCAGATACGTTCAACTTGGTTTTAAAAATATTTGAAGTAGGGCCTATAGCTTACGATATAGCACGAGCAACTGATAATATCGGTGACGTCACTTTATTTTGTTGTATCCAAATGATGTAGGCAGAGGCGTATCCAGGTTTTCGTTGTAGGGGGAGCGAAATGAGCAAAAAAAGGCGCCGAATTTTTAGCACGTTCTATATACATGTATTTATATATATATATATATATATATATATATATATATATATATATATATATATATATATATATATATATATATATATATATATATATAAGTTTCCAAAAAGGCGCCACTTGGCTGAAAATGGCCAGAGGGGGAGCGGCAGCTCCCCCTGCCCCTGCTCCCCCCTGCGTACGCTACTGGATGTAGGCATTTCCTTGTGCTTAGATTTATATGGTAAAAAAAGCTAGAAAAAAATCGTAGGCGGCGGCTATAATACAAAATTTCTATGCAACAATAGAAAATATGTTTGCGTCGGCAGCGGATCCGGGCACGGCGATCTTCAAAGACGGTAAATCAGGCGGCCTCGGCGTTCCACACAAAAGACAGAAGTTGATCTATCGTCGGCGGTATTTCCGTCGGTTTCGAACAAGGTGGTATTCTAAGTCGACACAAAAGATGGGGGGAGTTGACAAATCATCAGTATGTCTAGCGACGGAAAAATCGGAAGTTTTAACAATGTAAACGAAACTTCTTTGAAGTCTGGACCAAATACCACTGAAAATCGGGTGCGGTAAATTTTTCGCAGAAATCTTCGCATTTCAACACCACCCAGCGTAAGGATCGGCTTGTGGTAAAATGCGAGACAAAAAAGTCACGTGACCGACCGTTTTCGCGCCCTTCTCGCATTTTCCCGCCTCGCCATTTCGCTTTTCGCGTCTCGCAATTTCCCCACACCCGTCCTAGATTATACTTTCACTTAGGGTTAGGCTAATTAATATGCTACTATTATTACTATTAATCTATTAATTATGATGCGACTTACCCATGTGTCTTCAATAGTAATAATGACGTTTTGTTGTTAGACACGGCCCCGGCAGGCAGGCCACAGCGGATAAACTTTCAACTTTTTTATCTAACTTCAACTGTACAAAGTACAAACAAAATAATAGTAGTAATAGGCCTATTTAATAATATATTAGTATTAGATAGGGCCTATTTCTTTTTTAAAAAAACTGTTAAATAGGCTGAGTAATTCAGAATATAAATAGTTAAGCGTGTCGTAAAACCTTAGGACTTAAATAGTGCTTACTAATTATTGCATTAGATTTATTTACACTGCGACACACAACAAAACAGGGGAAGTCTAAGCTTACTAACTACACACGTTATAATAATTATTTTTAGAATAGAACGGCTTAGTCGTGAGAATAGTATTTTTCTTTTTCGATATACCCAAGTCAGCAGGAACATTCTACCACCTCGACGACATACAAATGTTGGCTAATGCAAACGCGCTTTCAGTTTAGGCCTACCAAGCACAAATTATTAATTTAGTTAGAATTATAAAAACGAAGCAAATAAATATTGAGTTTAAATAATGCTGATACATTTTTAACCATCAGGAGGCGAATTACGAATTATAAAATTAACTTCCATAAAAGGCTCGTTGATGAGGAAAAAAGTCGCAAATTCTTTAAAAAGTTTTTTGTTTGTATTAAAACAGAAGCATCGCCGATTCGGATAGGCATTATTAGCCCAACTTTTCTCCTACCAAATATCTATACTTATATTCAGAGTTTCTTCCAGGCATCTCTTCGGAGGGGCGAAGCCCCCCCCCCCCGAAATTTTTTACCCCCCCCCCCCCCGAACGAAATGAAATTTATATAATTTATATAGAAAATATATACTGTTAACAGTGTCCGCCCCCCCCCCCCCCCAAGAAAGTTTACCGCCCTCCCCCCGAAGATTTCAAGTGCCCCCCCCCCCCCCCCCCCGGAGAAAAACGTCTGGAAGAAACACTGCTTATACTTAAACCCAATCGTTTATCTTCTCGCTTCGCTTAACAGTAAAAAAAAATACATCATAGAACAACCTTATTCGAGTGGCGACCAAAGTTGATTTCAGAAAGAAAAAAAAAATCCGAGATGGGACGCACTTAAATTTACGGGGGAAGAGTGGACACCGGCCAAAGTATAGGCCTATGTTTCCTAACAAAATATTCATATATTTCGTCTGGCGGCGGTGTTCGCACTCCCCCTGAAAGGAACTCTGATTGTGCTCCCTTTTTTTAAAGGCCTTGGTAATTTTAAAAAAAAAAACTGGAAAATTTAGAATAGGTCTATAGATGTAGTGGAAATTATATAGTATTTAATAGTGTTAATGCGTTTTTTGAAATTGCATGTTATTCAAAATAAAACTCCGGGTTAAAGAACTTCTTTCAGTTTAATGTGGGTCTATATAATCAGTGTTTCTTTCAGACTTCAATATAAACTCCCTTTCGTTCGGAGGGGGGGGGGGGTAGAGTATTTTCGGAAGAGATGTCTGGAAGAAGCTCTGTATATACTTAAACCTTACTTGACCAGAAATCACTCAATAATACGGGCTATCATCACTAAGCCTAGATCTAGATCTAGATCTAAATCTGTTTTCCGGCCAAAATGACAAAGTGTGGGAGATAATTAGATTTTTTTTTTCACAATTTGGATAGACAGAATGCCATGTTTTATTATCACGTTGTTTTGCAGTTTCAAACTCTGCTGGGAGTATCAACTTTATTAGATCTATATATTTTCTCGACTGAATAATCATCTAGATTTAGACAATATAGATCTAGCACCCAGCACGGCGGTCAATAAAAATTTCTGCTGTGCAAATAATGATTTTGAAGCATTGATAGAATGAGCCTCCGTATTGATTTTATATTTTTGTTTAGAGAAACCAGAGATTTCCGATCCGAGACTGTGGGTTCGAGTACAAGGTTTACATCAAATGATTGGCCCACCCTGAGTAACATCATATTTGTAACGTATGCATTTAATTACTAGAGGTCTATAATAAATGGCAGTACGAACTCGTGACTCGGACAAAGAAGGTAAGCACAGAACTGCCAAGAAAGATGATTATTTAAGTTATTCTCCTATGAAGTCTAGAGATGAGTTGCTACAGAAAAAACATGCAGTTTTCTTCAAGAGAGTACTACAAGTTTTACCATCACAACAGCTGGATACTCACAGGTTTGTCTCTATTCTAAATTTAATTTAAATATTTATTTTATTGTTAAAACCTAACAGGCCTAATCTTTAAGCCTAGTCATTCCTATTTTAATAAACAAGTTTAAGTATGAGTAGAGTGTAATTAGTGTAAAGTGTAATCAATAGTAATATCTAATATGAGTCATGTATTCACTCCTTTAGCACTGTTGTTAAACTGTTCAAACAAAATTTGTTTTCAGAGTGTCTGTGGCTTTTTTTGCCATTTCTGGACTAGATGTACTCGAATCCCTAAGTGATATAGAGGATAAACAAAATAATATTATTCAATGGATTTACAGTTTACAAATACAGCCAGACTCTGCTGGTGAGTATAAACAAACATGTTAACTTAAGAGCCTAAGAGGCATATTCTTATTTTGGAATTAGTTTTATGTCATTTATTGTAAATTTTAATATATCAAATACTTTTTTAAACAGATGCTTATTATATTTATAAAAATATAAAAAGTCAAATTCAATTTTTGTAAATCTTAGGAAGCAATTATAAACAATGTGGATTTCGTGGATGTTCTATGCTTGGTCATTTATATGACACTGAAAAGGTAACTATTTTGATATGAGATTAATGACAGCAGTATTTTAACTAAATTTGAAGGTGAAGTCAATTTTAATTTTAAAATTTTATGTTCTTGTGAACTCTGTTAGGCACGAGAACAAGTGATACCATGGGATAGCAGCAACATAGCAATGACATATACATCACTGGTATCTTTACTTATACTGGGAGATGACTTGTCTCAAGTTCACAAAAAGGCTGTGATAGCAGGAGTTCGATCTTTACAACAATCTGATGGCAGGTTGGTTCATGGACAGGAAAACTACGACCTTTTTTTTAAAATGATATTAGAAATGGAATATATCATAGTTATCAATTTTAACAATAAACTAGCTTCATTGTGCACAAACATATGATATGTGTTAAAAAAAATGTTCATTCAAGTTCTTCCCTATTCCTTTAATCCGATGTGTATAAAATTAGAATTTTGATCTAGTTAGAAATATTAGCTTTGAACACTTAATTCATGAATATAATGCTTGTGTCAGTACTAATTAAAAAGAATTAATTGTTATAATTTTGCTTGGTTTACATTTTAGTTATTGTTTGTTGTTTTTTGTTTTTTTTTAATATTAATTTTTTTTTTAACTTTCAGTTTCATATCTGTTCTGGAAGGCAGTGAATATGACATGAGATTTGTGTACTGTGCCAGCTGTGTGTGCTACATATTGGATGATTGGAGTGGCATGGATGTAGATAAAGCTGTATCATATATTGTCCATAGTCTTGTAAGTGCTGGTATAGTTTGTTATCTCTTCTGCTTTAACTGTGAATTCTCATTCATTCATTTTTTATTTATTCATTTGTTGAAAATATTTTACTTTTAAATAGTATGAGCAGAAAAAAATATGGTTTTATCTCTGTATTTAAAAATAAAAGTTATAATTTAATTACATTTTGTTTAATAGTTGATATTTGCTTATCTTCTAATTATACTGATTTTATCTTTTAAAAAAACTATGTTATTTGTATTTCTATAAGTTAACATTTTTTAACTGTGAGATATTTTAATCAGTAAAATAACTAAAAGGTTTGGTTTTAATAGCATAATTTTCTTACTAAAAATATTTCTTTCTGTAGTCTTACGAAGGAGCTTTCGGCCAACGCCCTTTCAATGAAGCTCATGGTAAGTATTTAAAACATAAGTGTTTCAATTTGTTTATCATTTTTAGCATACCAAAGCGTTATTAGTATTAATAATGGAATATATTTAACAAAAGGTGAAACATCAACTATTAATAGCTCTCCAGACTTTGAAACTCCTAATTTTAAACTGCTTGTTTTTAAGGTGGTTCAACATTTTGTGCAGTAGCATCTTTGGTACTCATGGATCGACTGCATTCTGCACTGACAGAAACTCAGCTGTCTAGACTTAAAAGGTGGCTGTTGAGACGCCAGGAAACAGGTTTTACTGGCAGACCCAATAAACCTGCTGATACATGCTACTCATTTTGGGTGGGAGCAACATTACAGGTGAGTTATAGTGGTGAGCAACATTACAGGTGAGTTATAGTGATGAGCAACATTACAGGTGGGTTATAGGTGTGACCAATATTAAAGGTGGTTATAGCTGTGAGCAATATTAAAGGTAGGTTATAGCTGTGGGTTATAGGTGTGAGCAATATTACAGGTGGCTATAGCTGTGAGCTACATTACAGGTAGGCTATAGCTGTGAGAAACAGGTAGGTTATAGCTGTGAGAAACAGGTGGGTTATAGCTGTGAGAAACAGGTGGGTTATAGGTGTGAGCAATATTACAGGTGCTGCATTACAGGTAAGTTATAGCTGTGAGAAATATAGGTGGGTTATAGGTGTGAGCAATATTATTGGTGGGTTATAACGATGCATATTTATTTTATTTAAAATCCTTTTCAACATATTACTAAAATGGTAATTTTAATTAGATTACCCTTTCAAATTTTTTTTCCAGATGTTGGGAGTGCTTGACTTGTCCAATGTCACATTCAACAGATCTTTTGTATTAAGTACACAGTCACAGATAACGGGAGGATTTTCTAAGTACCCTGATCATATCCCTGGTAATTACTTTCATAAGCTTCATAGCACTAAGTTAAGCAGAACACTGAGTTGTGATGTAATAACTGCTTTTATTTCATTATCTTGTTGATAGTTTTACTTTTTTACGCCCAGTAAGGATAAATTTGAGTTGGCACATAAGGCTTTAGACAATTAGTGTAATATTCAGTTAGTATAGTCAACTGTTACTCATATAGCTGTAAGCTATTTTATTACAATTTCTCCTCTTGCACTTGCTTAAAACTACAGTGTTTGAATACATTTTTCCTTTTACAGATCCCTTACATACATATCTAGGACTATGTGGGCTGTCATTAATAGGAGAGCCTGGACTTAGTCCCATTTACCCTGCCTTGAATATGTCACAGAGAGCTTTTGATCACTTGTCAAACCTCCATAGACAGTGGAGAGAAGGACCTGACCATTGATTCCAACTTATTCATAGTTTCTCTAAACACTTCTATCAAGACCGTACTTTGGGATGCTCAATGTTATACAAATATGAATAACATTTTTATTTACAGTTAATTAACTGTAAATTGTAGGTGCTTGTACAATTGAAAAATTGATTTTGTCAAAGAAAATTTAAGTCTAATTTTGGCTTATCATCCATAATTCTTTTTATAATAATCATAAGTTCTAATAAAAAGTATTTACTAATTTGTATTTTTTTTTATACAGATCGTAGCTAGGTAATTAGCTTATTCTGTTTGTTACACACAACAGATTTGTATTAATTTACTTGATGTTAAGTCAAATATTGTTATGCAGAAATCCAATGTCACATTTAAAACTGCTTTAACTTAATCAATTAACTTTGATGCAAGTAAATTTTTATTTTCTTTGTTTAAATGAGAGTAATGAAAAATGTGCGCTGAAAAAAGTAATAAGCATGTTTTTGCTTTCAATAAATGTGTGTGAATTTTATTCATCAACGAATTACAATAGAACTTTAGATCAATTTGTTTTTAAAATTAGTCTAATTGTTTAAATATTAATGTTGAAAAAAAATATAACATCTACTAGTTATTTTACCATTGAAGGTGAAATAATATTCAAAACCACTGTTTTAAACTAAGATCAGATATATTTTGTTACAAAGGTTGACATTTTCAGAAACTGATTCTAATCATAGAAAATGTTACATTTAGATCATTTTTGTATTACTATGAATATAACTATAGCTTCTACTACCAAAAACTTTAAAACTTCTTGTACCATATTCTAATGATTTCTTACACATCCTTAACCTTGATTTTCTAAAATTGCTTTCACTTTAACATTGTATTGTGTTTTTTAGTTTGTTAAACTGGATTCTGCTTGTAGGCTTTTGATTTCCATATTTTGTTAATCTTGTGATAAGATTTTATATTTGTTGTTGTAAAAAAAATTAAAACTAACAATCTGAATGGATAGGAAAATATTGTAAGTGCAGATTTATAGCCTATTTTATTGTTTTTTAAAACATCCTACTTCAAATGTATCGGTCATTAAAGGTTAACAACTATTTATACATTCATGCCCAATGTATTGTGAAACCTGCATTCAGTTAGTGGTCTTCAACTTCAACGAATAAGATTAAAAGATGAACAGATTCACAGTTAGCTTTAAAATTAATCTCTTAAATTATTTTTTTTCTAGTCAGAGCTGTATGCTTTGTAATATAGTAATTTTGTTTTGATATCTACTCCAAAACTTAAATTACTTTTTTTTTAATCATTTTTTGTCATAATTTTTATTACCTAAAGAATATTGCTATCCTATTTCTGTTTCAACTAATTTGTCCAATGTGGTAAACATCCTTATTTAAATAAATGTGGTTGCAGAAATAAATAAATGGATTACATTCCATGAAGGGTATGGTCTTTGAGATTGTGAGAATAACATGCAATTGTCTTCAAGTGCTATGTACTGTAAAGTAGAATTAAATAATAACTAATTTAAGTAAATGTAAGGAGTTATTTCTTTTCATTTAGTAATGTTTTGTGAGAAAGGTGTTAGAAACAGAAAGGCACATACAAATTTATATAATATTATTTTTATTAGTAAATTCCTAGAGAAAAAAATTTAAACTAAATTTCAGCTGGTTAAAATTGGTCAACCATTACTAAAGATTTTTATCAAGTATTAGTTTTACTTGTTATTGAATATGAATTCTTTATTAAGTTAAGAAAATTTTATTTCTTTATGTAAGATGTAAAAACTAGATGTCTCAGATATTTAATAGTTCACATCCATGAAACATTTCATATTGCTAATGTTTTGTGGCAGTAAAATGTATGGTTTTAAAACTTATTTAGGTAAATTAACTTTGAAATATTTTTTAAAGCAACTATCTAAACATTTTGAATAAAAAAAACTTTTATAACAGTAATTATGTTGTTCTTTAATTCTTTAGACACAGAAACATAAAGGTATGAATTGGATACAATAATTCGTAAAGGATAGAACTGTAGTTTACAACATTACCATTCTATATACTACATTACTTGATAGAGAACTCCAATTATGAAGTGCCGTTTTGAAAAAAAATAATTGTGTTAATTAAGTAAATTAGACATGCTTATACTAGAACAACAATTTTCATAACTTCAGCAGTACCCATGTAAAGGTACAGTGTAGAGGCTGAATTAGGAGTTCTTCTGTGGGATTTTCACATGAACCTAAAATTGAATTAGATAAATGCATAAGGTTTTTAAATAGGAAAACATTTTTTTTTATAAATTATATTTTTATATATACAACTGTTTGAAGACAAATATAAATGTTTGCAAAGATATATATATATAGTTCAATTTGTGGTAAATCCAAATTAAAAACATCTTTTGTGGCTCTTTGGTTTTAATGAAACTGCTTTATTGTACATTGCCCAAGACATATGGGGCAGATGAAGTGGGGTTCATTTTTTCAATGACCTCTGCACACAAAAGAAATAGTATGGTCACCAATACACCCATCTGTCTTTGTTTCACTAACACGAGTTAGGTACTCATCAGAGCTGGGTGAACACAGGGATGTCCTGCTGACTCAACCATTTGACAAAGCGCACACTTGTTAAAAAATTAAGACTTAAATAGTTTATTTCCACTTACAGATTTGACTTCCACATAGTTCTGCAAACCATAGTCTCCCCTATAAAAGAAAATTAATGTTTCTCTGCTCACGTTTTAACTCACGAAAAAGAAGTAAAAGGAATTTATTAAGAATGAAACTGGATTGTGTTTTTTTTTCTATAAATAACAAGAATTCTCCATTTGCTAATATGAATTAGGTATTATATTTTTTTTAAAAACCTCTCTAAAAAAACATCTACACAAAGAAGTAAACTAGTATTTTCTGCAGCGATTTTTCTATAAAATGTACCTAGCCTAAAAAAAAAATTCAAGTTTCTATTCAGATGAATGTCTGCCTCAATGCCAACCGCATTATATTATGAATATCTAGCAAGTTAAAAAAGTTACTTACAGTTCTCTGCCTAGGCCAGATTGCTTAAAGCCACCAAAAGGTGCTTGAGGAGCAAGATGATTGTAGGAGTTTATCCTGAGAGAAATTTAATATTAGAAATTGAAATTACGTAATGCGAAATTATTCACTAGTTGAGTGGAATATATATAGATCTATGCCACTCATTGTCACCCGGTGCGGAACTTAAAGGTGTCAACCCAAGAGGCGTAGCGACCTTTCCCAGGGACAAACTTTCAATTTTTTATTTGCATCCCCCTTAAACTTTTGATTTGCACCCCCCCCCCACCCTCAATTTTTTCTCTATATGTTTTGCTATTAATTGCCTTGGTGTCACCCCCCTAAATGGTGTCACCCGGTGCAGTCCGCACTCCCCGCCTCCCCCCCCTCGCTACGCCTCTGATGCCACTAGGTTGATGATGTTTTTTTTCCTGTTAAATAAACCTTAATCACAAACCAAGCCTAAACAACAACCTGAATCCAAGCCTCAACCTAACCTCAACTTAAACTCAACAACATGATCCTCAACACAAACCCGTGCCTTAGTCTATCCCAAGCTCTAATCATAAATCTCACTATCTACAACTTGACCCAAACCCAAACTTTATAAGATTTTTAATTTTTGCTGCTTTAATTATTCTTTTAGACTCTATTTATTTTTTGCTGTTTTATGTTAGTAAAAGTTACTTTTATTTCTATTTATACATGCATTTTTAGTGTTAAAGAAATCATGCTGTAATTTTTTATGTGAATAACATCATTGTATTTGTGTACATTTTTCCATATTCTGTTTTTTATTTTACTCTTGCTTTGACTTTTTAAATTATTTTTCTTCTGACATCAGACTTCTTGTCACACAGACAGATGCAATAAAAAACATACTGTATAGATAGTTCATGAAACAATCAAAATAGAACACTTGATTAACAATTAAGTTATTATCAATTTCAAGTAAGCAAATGTTAGTTTCACTTTTAATTTCATATTTACAAAAGTTTAACTGTAGACAACCTACCAAACAGTCCCAGCCTGCACACCCTGGGCAAACATAAGAGCTTTGTTGATATCATTTGTGAAGACGGCAGCCCCAAGTCCATATTTTGTGTTGTTAGCACGCTTCAAGACCTCATCAAAATTTTTAAACTTGAGAATTTGCTGCACCGGTCCAAAGATCTGTAGGCAAGGAAAAGTTGAATCACTTAGGAGATATAATATTAAACACACAGTGGAAACAAGGGAGTTAATGTACATTCAGTAAAACAAATAGAATTAATGTTAAAAATATTTACCTCCTCTTTGGCAATTCTCATATCATCAGTCACATTGGAGAACACAGTAGGTGTAACATAAAATCCTTGATCTCCGTGTCTTTGACCGCCAAACTCAACCTTGGCACCTTCTTTCTTTCCACTTTCAATTAAATCCATAATTTTGTTCAGCTGCACCTGGTCAATCTAAATTTTATTTTGCATGATTAGATCATTCAAATAAGCTTAATAAACATATTACAAAGATCACTTAGTTAAATTAATTTTCAATTTAAACCAAGGAAATATTTTTAAAAAATTGTACCTGTGGTCCATTGATAGTGTTAGAGTCAAAAGGATCTCCAATTTTTCTTGTCTTAGCCAGCTCACGGCTCTTGGCAACAAACTCATCGTAGATGTTTTCATGGACGTAAGTTCTGGTACCTGCCACACAACACTGACCCATGTTGGTCATGCATGCTTCTTGTGCCTCAGCCACTGCCTTGTCAACTGCAACAAATCACTTACTTTTATTTTATTGTACAGCATACCCAAGCTATTTTGAAAAAATTTCACATGAAAGAAGATTACAAGGATCTTAGAATTACAACTAAACTGATCTGCTGACCAAACCAAAATTTTCACACCACTTTCTTGTTAAATTTTATAATTATTCTACCACATTTACAATTATTTTCATAGACATTTTAAAAAATAGGTAAAGTTTAAGATTTAAACAAGTAAGGTTTTTAAAAGATTTTTTCTTGATTTTTTAGTACAATTTGTTTCCAAAATTAAATGTTTTAAAAAAGTATTTTTTATTTGTATTTCTTGGATAACAAGCACAAGTTTAACTTACTGTCTACATCATCAAATATGACACATGGGCTTTTACCACCTAATTCAAGGGTTGTCCTTTTGATATTTGAAGCTCCAGCAGCTTGCATGATAAGCTGGCCAATCTAATAAACAAATTTATTTTCATTATTCCATTCTATTACAAGCGAAAAAAAAATATCTATTTTGAACTGTTACTCACTTCAGTAGATCCTGTAAAGGCCACTTTATTGATATCAGGATGGTTAGAGATAGCTGCACCAGCTGTTGGCCCATAGCCAGGTACCACATTGACAACACCAGGAGGAAAGCCAGCCTAAGAAATAAATTATCATGTGATTTTTATCAAAAGCTGCGCACACAAATAGAATTTTAAAGTTTATGGTTGATTAAAAAGGAATATATCTATTAGATATAGTAAAGAAAGTAAATTTTTCTAAACATAATAAAGAACCACAAGCAAACCTCTTTGATTAGAGCAGCCAGGTAGAGGGCAGTCAGTGGAGTTTGTTCAGCTGGTTTAAGGACAACAACATTTCCAGCTGCAACAGCAGGGGCAATCTTCCAGGCAGCCATCACAAGGGGGTAGTTCCACTGGAAAATTATTTCACATGCTCAACAAAAAGAAGATTTTAAAAGTATTTTCATAGAAGTAAAACTGGTAAAATAAAAACAATTTTCTCACTGTTTCAAGAATAAAAAATATAAACTCAATAAAATAGTATTAACTAACATCCAGAGGCATCGTGAGGCGGAGGCGATAGTGTGGTCACACCTGTTAACCCCATGTAGAGGGTGGGGTGACACCAAGACGAAAATTTTGCAAAATTTATAGAAGAAACATGTTTTTGCCAGTTCAATGAATGATCAATTAGAGTAAAAATATGTTGACACCATATTTAATAATTTTAATTTATTATGAAAACAATGCCCTTTTCCTCTTAAATTATAGTTTGATTAAAATTATGCATGCACAAATTCAGGTCATTTGGCTAAATGGTAGGGGCTGACAAGACACCAATTACAACTATATACATATATATATATATATATATATATATATATATATATATATATATATATATATATATATATATATATATATATATATATATATATATATATATATATATATATATATATATATATATCCTTTGGTGGGGGGTGACACCATATGGTGCCACACTGGGTCAAAGATCTAAACCAAAAACTTACAGGAATTATTTGACCACAGATGCCCACAGGCTCATGTCGAGTGAAGGTGAAAAAGTTGCCATCTGGAAAATGTACAAGAGTTTTAAATACAAAACCAAATCTGATACAAAGGTAATCAGAATTTTTTTTTAATGGGAAGAAACTAGTAAAGCAGCGCATGTTATAAGGGCTAACCTAAGCCAACCTACCAGCTGGAATAGTTTTGCCACAGTTTTTGTCTGCCCATCCAGCATAGTATTTGAACACCATTGATGAGAAGAAAGTATCACCCACTGACCCATGTAGAGCAAAAGCCTTGCCATTGTCTAGGGTTTCAAGACTCTAAAACAAAAGCCACACACTTTGATTAGCCTACTCATCGCTTTCATTTAATAATTTTTTAAATGTAAAAGCATATTTAGATATAGTAAATGCCATTTGAAATGTAAATTGTGCTGTTGAATTGAACTCACCGCAATGTAATTGACATCCCTTTCAATGAGCTCAGCAACTTTGTAGAGCAGACGACCTCTAGCACTGGCATCCATGGTCCTGTAAGGGGAGCCAAGTTCAAAGGCTTTCTGGGCAGCTTTAACAGCCAAATCCACATCTTCCTACAACACAAATAATTATTTCTTAGCACTTAAGCTTCTTTCTCAATCATGGTCCTAACCATATATAACTTTAAAACTATACATTATTTTTTTATCTTCTCAGAACATTACCTTGTCAGCTGCCTGGATGTCGGCTATCTTTTTTCCAGTTGCAGGGTTTATTGTAGGGAAAGTTTTGCCACTCAATGAGTTCACAAACTCATTGTTAATGAAAAGCTAAAATTAAAAAAATATATTATAAAATATACACTGATATCTTTTGATAGCAAGAAAGAAGAATATAAATTAATATGAGCTGTTCTCTTTATTTTGTTTGCACAGGTCTTACAATGTGTAATCAATCCCAAAAAAAAAGCTTCAAAGCTAAAGATGTTAGAATTTGCAACAGTTTAGTAGTTTATAATGTCAAAACTTAGGTGAAGTTCAGATGAGAGCACATTTACAATCTATTCAGTTTATTGTACCTATAACCATCTGTATTGGCACTATTCAACAATGTAACAGTAGGTTATACATTGATGATTGAGTATAAAGACAAAGTGTCATTAGGTCATACTTAAATATTCCTGTAGACAAAATACTGTATCAGTCACATGCTAAAAAATTATACTAGATCTAGCTGAAAACAGTTAATCTAAGGTGTAGAAAATGTTAATAGTCAAACTAGTTTAATAGTAGTTCTAATAAAAAGAATTACATTGTAATAATTTACCTGCGTGTACTTAATTTTTGGGTCTCGGATAGGTTTAAAATTCTCCATCCTGCATAAGAAAAAGTACATTGAAAATAATAGTAGAAATAATAAGTGAAATGATCAGGGTTAAATTAAGGTTAGGGGTCAGAGTGGCAATATTAACACAAACACACCTCACATCTTAGGAACAGGCAAATTAAAATAATGCTGTGCACTTTTTGCATTTTTAAGTAAAACATAACAAACTACTTGACTACTGATCTGGAAATCTAGATCTAGAATCTAGTATTTTAAGTACAAACCTGTGTTTTTCCTAGCTTAATGTACTGATTGGAGTTGTTTAGAGATGCTCTCAAATGTAACTCAACAACTGGGTACAGATGAATGTGTAACTCCACAAATGATGGTTGAGTAGAGGAGCTAAATTAGTCTTGTCTAGATCTAGACTACAGTAACGCCACAAAGACAGCAGACTGTATGAGCCGTTGCTGTATTGCCAGAACATTGCAGCCTCGGCATTTATATAGGCAACTTTTTTTGCCGGGCTGACAGTTCAAAAAAGAAAAGTCATGATCGGGGGGGGGGGGGGGAGAATGTTAATAACCTTGAGTATGCAAAATAAAAAACCCTACCCCAATCACGTGAGGGATTGTGGCCTACGCATTAAAACCTGGCGTGATTAAAATTAGAAAGAGAGAGGTTATTACTCAAGGGGTGGGGAGGACAGCCTATTCAATCACCAATCCGAAAATTTCTTTAGAGAATCAGCACAACAAGGGCGGCTACTGGTTTTGAACAAAAGTTTGTTATTTCAGCGGTTGTGTCCCGTTGTCCACTTTTCATTAAAAATAAGTTATTTGTAATTGATATTTTATTTGATCTCCCATGGAACGCCTCCCAATGTGGTGTACTGACTATTGACTATACTATAGGCAATAGGGGATCGCCCTCCAAATATGGTAGGTACCGGGGAAATTAAAAAAAACAATACTCGGGGCAGATCGAAATCATCACCTGCTACCTTGCAGTAAGGGGGGGGGGGGGAGGGGAGGGAGAGGGGTTACAAAGGCCAGGGCCCCGACCGGAAGGAAAGGTAATTGCATTTCTTCGTGCCGTATGTCAAAATGCCTAGTCATGTTCAACTTAAACTTGACTTGTGCTTCCTATTCCTAACTTTCGTTTTCAGTTTAACAAGGTCAAATGTATATATTCGTGCTGTTTAGCAAAATGCTAAGTCATATTATTTGGCTTAAGCTTAATTACATAGGTTAAACTAGCGGCGTACGCATGGGGATCGTGAAGCAGACGGGGGTGCTGCCGCCCCATCTAGGGCCATTTCGATGACAATGGTGAATTTTTCGAGATTAACTCAAATTAAATTTGAAGCAGTTTCCAGCTATTGTAAAGAAAGAAAAACACATCACCTTTCAGAAACTATAAACATAAAATTCTCAACAACTATTGCATGACCAGTTTTTGTGTTGAGTAGGTCCTTAATTTTTAACGACTCGCAGCATAACACCTTTTTTTTTAGACGAAACACCTTTTTGTCTTGCAGTCCACGTTAGTAGCTTTACATTATGCGTATACATAGACCTTGCAGTTATACGTCTTTTAAACAAAGGCCATAGAGGTAGCTCACATTGTAAGAGTAAATCTTGACCCTAGACGGTCCAGTCAAGCGACGTCTACATAAAAATCTGAATTTTAGACCCACCCCCCCCCCCCCCCACTTTGGTGGAACCCACAAAATTCCCTACCAATTTACTAATTAGTAACATGTGTAATTGTTTAACGTAATGCTAGTAATTTAGGCATATATCGCCATGTATTCTCTTCGGAGATGTCTTGTTTTATGCTAAAAAATTAATAAATATTCTGTATAGTCTGTAAGATAAGCTTTTGTTTGGATTTTTTTCTATATAATTATATAAACCAAAAAGGGGATGAAGGGTAGTTAAATATATATATATATATATAGGCCTATATATATATATATATATATATATATATATATATATATATATATATAAATAAATAAATAAATAAATAAATATATATATATATATATATATATATATATATATATATATATATATATATATATATATATATATATATATATATATATATATATATATATATGCGTGTGCGAAACTTTTCTGTGAAAACCTGGCTACGTCATAACTCCTAACCTTCACCTCTCGCTGAACTAGGTCATAAGCACAGCTTCATGATGTTTCGTGAAATGCTAAGTCATGTAGTTTGAGTTTAAGCCAGACCGTGCAGAGTTTCTCCCAGGCATCTCTTCGGGTGCCTCCCCCCCCCCCCCCCCCCCCGAAAAAATTCTAATGCCCCCCCCCCCCCCCGAACGAAATGAAATTTATATAATTTATATAGAAAATATATACTTTTAACAGTGTCCGCCCCCCCCCACCAAAGAAAGTCTACCGCCCCCCCCCCCCCCTGAAAATTTCAAGTGCCCCCCCCCCCCCCCCGAGAAAAAAGTCTGGAAGAAACACTGCGACCGTGTAACCTCCAATGTCGCCTAAGTTGGTGAAATGCACTTCTTCGTGTTGTTTAGTGAAACACGCAGTCATGTAGTTTTGTTTCAGCTGAACTGAGCTGGACCACACGAACTAAATGTGTGGATGTGTTATTTTTATTGTGTTCAGCTGTATTGATTATAAAGTATAAAATGTCATGATGAAGTGTACTTAGTGTAGCGTTCGGATCGGTCCCGAGGCAAAATATCAATTTTATCCCCCCTCCCCCCCCCCCCCGCCCCCATCATTTTAGGAGTCTAACAACTCAATCGATGTTTTAGATACCACCCCACGGACAACAGCCACGCGGTGTTAACGTGTGGCTGATTTTACTTTTTAGATGTGGGTTTCTATGGCAACATGAAACAATTGAGTTAAACTATTTATACCAGCGGTGGCTTTGGTAGGAATGTTAAGAGAAAGGGTGGGGGGGGGGGGGTATTAGAAAATCCCCCATAGACTTTTAAAAAATAGATCTCTTATATTGTTAGCGCTTTCGACAGATCATAAAACAAATTGTAAAGCCTTTATAATGTAAGCATTTGGTCTCTCGTCAAATCTACCTATTTTAGTGACACAAAGGGTTTCCTTAGTGACATTTTGTACTTTTACTGCAGCTCCTTCTCAGTGTTTCTTCCAGACTATTTTCTCCGCGGGGGGGGGGGGGGGGGGGGGGAAAGGGGCACTTGAAATTTTCGGGGGGGGGGGGCGGCGGTAGACTTTCTTCGGAGGGGGGGGGGGCGGACACTGTTAAAAGTATATATTTTCTATATAAATTATATAAATTTCATTTCTTTCGGGGGGGGGGGGGGCTTAGTAAGCCCCCCCCCCCCCCCCGAATAGATGCCTGGAAGAAACTGCTCCTTCTCCACCCTGCCCTTTTGATCTCGTCGTTTTGCCTATGTTGAGCTTTTGGATGTTGGCCCTTTTGTCCTTTACCCTATCCCTTCAGTGAAAAATATGACGTAGCTAATAGTCTTTTATTACAATTTTCCATCCTATATCACCGTGTCGAAAGTATGCTGGTAGAATGCTATACAAAGGAATACATCACTCACAATGAGATCGCTGTCAGAGTAATTAAAATAAACGCTATCATACCGCAACTGACATCTAACATTCACCTGGGATTTCCAGATACTCCGAGAAGTAACAGAGTGTCTCACAGTGGCAATTGCCAGCACATAGAAATGGCCGGCTGAATCGTGAATTTGGATACTAATTTTACCAGCATGCATTCCCTTTCGTGTCTACATTCAACATAACTCAATCCACCACCCCTCACCCTTATTACTTGGTGGTGCTGAAAGATTCCTAGTTTTGTGACTACACAGTTGATGTTGGGCTACCTGTATGTTACAATTTAACTTTAAGTAGAGCTGGTATTTAAATAGGCCTTTTTATTTTTAAAGTGGTCATTTTTAGTTGAATATTGATGGGTCAACTCATTTAGGAAAAAAATAGATTAACATGATCTGCCACACTTACTCCCCCCCCCCCCCACAAAATTCGGGGGGAGGGGGTTGGGAGAGAAGCCTGAAAGAAACTGAGTATATACTTTGGCCTGCATACTGTATAATAATCTTTTAGCACTTTTCTTGTCAGCAAACCTTATCTGTCAATTATATAGCAGATTTCAATGTTGAATATTATTTTTAGTGCATTGAAAAGCTTATCATAAGTGGGGTTTTTTTTTTTTTTTGTTTCATTTTATTCCTTTTAAAGTTTAAATTTTCATCTTTTAATGGAACATATAACAACTAGTTCTAAATAGATATTTCATGGTTGATGTAGATATTTTATAGTCCACACCCGCAAAAAATTTCTTATCATATACGTTTTGTGGAAGCAAAATGTATTGTTTTAAAACTTATTCAGATAAATTAATATTAAAATATTTATTTAAAAAGACTTATGTTAAACTTAGTGTTGAATAAAACAAACTTTTAAAATAATTATGTTGTTCTTTAATTTTTTAAACACAGCAACATAAAAAATTAATAATTGGATACAATTAACTTGTATGTAATCGACTAGACTTGTAATTTTAAGCACAACCATTCCATGAACAGTGACTGGTCATAGAATTCCAACAATAACCAGCAGTTTTAAACTTAAATAATTGTATTAAATACATTAGAAATGCTTAAACTAGAACAACCAGTTCCAAACTTTGAAGGGGCTGAATTAGGAGTTCTTCTGTGGGATTTTCACAAAGACCTAAAAATAAATATATAAGGTAACAAAATAAGAAAACTTGTTTACAAAACATAATTAATCAAAATGTTATACAACTTAAAATATAAATATTTGTCCAATGTTTGGAAAGATTTTTATAGTTAAAATAAAAATATTTGTTGTACTTGTTTGTTTTAAATATGTTACTGATATTTCTTTGTTGGACATTAATTTTTTAAATGCACTTATTAATTAAACACGAAAATATTTGTTTCCTACTTACTGTTTTGACTTCCACATAATTCTGTAAGCCATATTCTCCCCTGTTAACAAAAAATATTGAACTGTTAATTTTTTAATACACAAAGAAGATAAAGAAATTGAGCATGAAACTGAATTTTGTGTTTTGTTATAAATAGCAAGAACTCTCAATTTGTTAATAAGAATTTGGTTTAATATTTTTAAAAACCTTGTCCTAACAATTCAATCAATACAAAAAAGTAAACTAGTATTTTTTGCAGCGATTTTTCATTGAAATTTACCTAACTTAAAAAAAGTTCAATTTTCTATTACAATGAATGTTTACAATACTAAACACATAATTTAAATTTCAAGCAAGGTCCTGTATTTAAAAAAGTTACTTACAGTTCTCTGCCTAGGCCAGATTTCTTAAAGCCACCAAAAGGTGCTTGAGGAGCAACATGATTAT